CCGTGGTAGCGCATGCCTGTAATTCCGGCTACTTGTAAGGCTGAGGAGGAAGGATCGCCAGAGCCCAGCAGGTCCAGGCTGCGGTGGCCGGGAGCAGCCACTGCACTCCAGTCTGGGCGACAGAGTGAGACTCCAACTCAAAAAAAAAAAAAAAAAAAAAAACCTAGTCACATTTTTTGCTGTATTACATGTGAACATGTTACATGTTCGGATCAATTTTCAGCAGTGACATGGACAAGAAATTAATTTTATTTGTTAAATAATTATTCCTCTCATTTTAAAACTAATAATTATTGAGTACTGATTACACAATACACCAGATAAGCCCTTGTGCTCATGAAGTATGTACTTGGGTGGGGCAGGTAAACCCCAAACAAATGAGCAATCCAAACTATAGTACAATGCTGGGAAGGAAAGCAAGAAGGGACATGACACAGAAAAACAGGGAGGGACCTCCATGGCAGAGCAGCCAGGAAAAGCCTCAAGCAGCTGCACTGAAAGGAAGATGGAGTTAGCTGCTAAGGACAGAAGAAAGCTGTTCCAGACAGGGGAATCAGCATGTGCAAAGGCCCAAAGTGTAAAACAATAGTGCTGCAATTTCAAAAAAATAAGCAAATTAAACCCAGTATGACTGGAACACAGTAGGTGAGCAAAAGAGGTGTTCATGAAGCTGGAGAAGCACAAGGAGCGCCATCCCCAGCTGGGCTCTGATGAACCTTCAGAGTCTGACCTGACTCTGCATATAATGGGGAAGCCACGGAAGTGTTTGGGTCAGTGTGTGATGTCATCTGACTTTCAAAAAATAAGCCTGGCTTCCCTATGGAAAATGAATTTATGGTAACAGCGGAGTTGGAAATAAATGGATAGATTCTATATTCTGGAAGCAGAAATGACAGCACTTGCTAATAAATTAGATGTAGGCTTTGAGGGGAAAGGAGAATAGATGACTTTCAAACTGGGGGCTAGAGCAACTAGGTGAACAGTGATAACGTTTACTGCACTGGTTAAGAGAGCCTGAAGGCATGTTCCAGGAGAAATGACATAACCAGAGCTGTGCTTTGGAAATAAACCAGGCAGTAGACCTGTTTTGAGTATCAAGACTAAGTAAGAGACTTATAGAACACTTAGTGGTCTTAGTGTTTGGTTGAACTATAATAGTGGTAAAGGAAAACAAGAGACACCTGGCTTGGCAATTCACTGAAGGTAGAAAAAGGGGAAAAAGAGCCAAAGATGGCTTGGGTTTCAAGCTTGGACTACCAGACAGAACCACGCAGGAAAAGCATATCTAAGGGAAAAGATGATGAGGTGAGTCAGAGACATACGTAACTCTAGGTGTCAACAGCTCATCCAGGTGAAAATGTCCCATGGGCAAGGGGATATAGGGCTGGAATCTCAATGAGTTCAGAGTCAGAAATAAATAGGTGATGGTCAAAACCACAAAAGAGGGTGAGATCTCTCAAGATAGTATAAAAAATGAGGACAGAAACTTGCAAATGCTTACAGTTAGGAAGTGAAAAAAGGGGAGGGAGGCAGAGAGAGAGCAACCAAATAGAAAGAATAAGGAAAACAGAAGAGGGAAGAGTCATGGGAGCAAAAAAAGAGAAGAGTTTCAAGAGGGAAAGGAAATCAACAGCATTAGATGTGGCAAACAGGTCAAAAAGGATGCTGGCAAAGTAACCTCTCAGGATTTGGCAAAAGGACAACACTGGCTACCCAAGAAAACGTGCTTTGGGGCCTGTGGGTGGGAAGAAGTCAGATCATAAATGACCTGACAGTCAAGTGAGGAACAAAGTCCTCTCATTTCATGGCAGAGAGGGCAGGATAATAAGACCCTAGCTAGAGAAGTAGTAGTCACTGGAGTGTTTGAACTAGAAATAATATGAGAGTTGAAGATGAAAGAAGAATAATATCAGGAACAAAGGGTAGAAGTTAGCCTGGAAATAGAATATAGGGGGTGATGACAGAGAATCATTTGGGAGGAAAGAGAAACGATGAGGGTGCTCACAGCAGATGTCCTGGTCTTTACCACCCAAGTATGAAATAAAGTTATATTCAGACTATGAGAGTTCATCTCAAGAGTGTCCAAAATATGGATAAATATGGTGGCTCCAGGTCCATAAATATGGACCTCCAGGTATTTCGAAAAAATTTGAATTCTGACTCAATTTTTTAAAAACCATAATTCCCTTAATATAAACAAATAAGCAAATTCAGTTTCAAAGTCATGGCTTTAACTACACGCTATCTCATTATCTATGCTAAAGATCATTTATCTAAAAATTGTGAGGATCCAAGTAAGATGAATCAAAAAATAAAAATGTAAATAATATTCTTCTTGCACAATATCCTTAAAAATGAATTATGGATAATATTGAATAAGTATAAGTGAAGTAATGACAATTAGTATAGAATAACCTAGAAAAACAAACCATAGGGAGCCTATTTCTTACTTGTGCACAAATTCTCCCTCTCTAAATTTCATGAACTTTCTTATGACATATATTACTTAATTACTTTATAATAGTTATTTGCTGTTCTTTCCAGTAAAAATTGAACATGCCAAGATTCATATCTTGATAAATCATTAAAGGTCTATCCCACTTCTCTCCTGTATTTTCCACTCTCTCCCTTCTCTGCTGATTCTGCAGTGCCTGTTAGAGCCATGAATAAACAAGAGAGACATGCACAAGGAAAAGATGTGTCCAATTAATAATTTATACTGACCTATCAGTTTATTAATGGATGTGTGAGTGTGCTTCTATAAATGAGTTAACTGAAGTGGGGAAGAAGAGATGATAAGGATTTTGGCTGATGGGTCAAAACATTTTTCTAAACCAAGTGATTATTAATACAAATGGCATAGTTCTTCCCTGGTCTCTAGCTTACAGCAGTTACTCCATAAAAGTTGCCTGGCTAGGCTAGGCTCGGTGGCTCAGCCTGTAATCCCAAGCACTTTGGGAGGCTGAGGCAAGTGGATTGCCTGAGCCCGCGGGTTCGAGACCAACCTGGGGAACTTGGTGAGACCTGGTCTCTACAATAAACCAAAAATTAGCCGGGCGTGGTAGTGCATGCCTGTAGTTCCAGCTCCTTGGATGGCTGAGGCGGAAGGAACGCCAGAGCTCAGCAGGTCGAGGCTGCAGTGGCCGGGAGCATGCCACCGCACTCAGTCTAGGCAACAGAGAGACACTCCAACTCAAAAAAAAAAAAAAAATTTGCCTGGCTAGATGACAATGTTACAGACATTTAACAGACATAATAAAATAAAAATTAGGACCAAAAAAAGAAAGAAAATAGGCTATGAGTAAATTAACAAAGCTAACTTATAAAAACTGGTCAGAGGTTCTTATATCCAGTTATACATAAAACTCATCTGAAAATTAAAATTGATGAGGGTTGGAATGATGTGTGAGCTTCTTAAAAGTCTCACCAGTGATTTTGCTACAAGGCCAGTGCTAGGACCACTCCACTTTAGTGAAAAGAGACTCACTGACAAGGAAAAGCAAGGATGATATAATAATGTCAAAAGATGGAAACAAAGCAACTCATACTGCATTAGGGTAAGGGTAGATGAGAGATAAGCAAAAGTGTTACACCACCCTTTGGTTATAGAATATCAAACCTGAAATGTTCCCTGAGAAACAAAAACTTATGGAAGCAGCCTGAAGAAAACTGACAATAGATGGAGTCACTGATTTCATGAAGATATTTTACATTTCACAGAAAGACTTGTCACCATCATGAAGCACAATGTTTTTAAAAAAGTGGCAAACACACAGCAGGTAACACAGCACAAGACAAACTCAAGAATTCAGAATTCATCCCACTTTTCTTTAACTTATTTGGAAAATATTCCAGTGAAGTCTACAGGGAATTATTTTCTGTAATCGGCTTCCTGACTAAAGAAAGCCTCTTTTAAGCCTGAGTTCAGCTGTCTATGACTAAGGGTTGAGGCATTTGAGCAATTTTCTCCTCAGAGCACTCTGGGAATCCTGCGGTTAACTGTTAACTTTTCTGCAAGCAGTTGGCTCTCAGACACTTGAACTTATGGAGTACCTAACATCCCAGATGATACCTTTTTGTCAAAAGCCACATGTGCAGGAATAAAATCTGCAGGCGGGGCCTGCTTAGGTTGGCCATAAGTTAGAACTGGTGCCTTGTTGGCCAATTCATTCAGCTCGGCCTGGGACAGCTGGTTGACCTGGAGCCGCTCCCCACCAATCCCAACTGTTGGACGTCGAACAATTGCATAGCCATTCCTGTAGCCCAGCGTCTGGCTTCTATGGAAAGCTGTTTTCTGAAGAAGAAAAGATGTCATTAATAACATTCTAAAAATATTTGTCAGGAAAAACAACTAACTTTAAAAGAATATATCCAGGCCCAGTTTGGTAGCTCAGCCTGTAATCTCAGCACTTTGGGAGGCTGAGGCGAGTGGATTGCCTGAGCCCTCAGGTTGGAGACCAGCCTGGGCAACTTGGCGAGACCTGTCTCTACAATAAATCAAAAATTAGCCAGGTGTGGTAGCATGCACCTGTAGTTCTGGCAACTTGGAAGGCTGAGGCAGAATGATCATCGGAGCCCGTGAGTGTGCCACTGCACTCCAGCCTGGGCAACAGAGACTCCAACTCAAAAAATAAAATAAAATAAAAAAATAAAAAAATATAGCCTCAACCTTTGCTTATAAGCATCATAAAGAATATTAAAAAGCTCACCCATATTAAAAAGTTCTGGATTATAAATTAAAATACTTGGACAGGAACATGGAAGGAAGTAGCCACCTGAGCTTAAAATAAAATTTAAAGCCCTGCTCTGTAATGCCCAATATAACTACCAACTCATCTTACATGAGACTAAAATAATATCTCATCTATACTTCTGATTTTTCACTGTATTTCCATGTTTTTAATCTTATCTGATGGTCATAAAAACTGTAGAACCTAGACAATCTGATTCCGTAAATTTTCATTTTTACCTGCAATAAATTTATTTTCACGCGCCCTTCTTGATACATTCATATAACTCTCTGGAAAGCAATTAACTGGACAGCATATATTTAAAATTTTAAACTCAATAATTTTTGTCTGATCATTTATTTTAAGAATATGACCCAAAATTATGGGAAAGAACTATATGCATGAAGTTTCCCATTACAATGGTAAATGTTGGACGAACATAAAAAATGAACATAAAAAAATGTGAGTAGTAGCTGGGCTCAGTGGCTCAGCCTGTAATCCTGTGCTTTGGGAGGCCGAGGTGAGTGGATTGCCTGAGCCCGCGGGTTCAAGATCCACCTGGGCAAACTGGCGAGACCTCATCTCTACAATAAATCAAAAATTAGCCGGGCATGGTAGTGTGTGCCTATAGTTCCAGCTACTTGGAAGGCTAAGGCGGAAGGATCGCCAGAGCCCAGCAGGTCGAGGCTGCGGTGGCCGGGAGCATGCGAATGCACTCCAGTCTGGGTGATGGAGTGAGACTCCAACTCAAAAAAAAAAAAAAAGTGAGTAGTTGATGGCAAACTCACTCAACGGACTATTAAGCAGCCATTAAAATAATGGTTTTAAAGATCACATGAGCCGGGCATGGTGGCTCATGCCTCTAATGCCAGCATTTGGGGAAGCTGAGGTGGGAGGGTTACTTGAGACCAGGAGTTCGAGACCAGCCTGGGCAACATAGTAGATCTCATATCTACACACAAACAAAAAAATTAGCTTGGTATGGTGGCATGTGCCTGTAGTCGCAGCTACTTGGGAGACTGAGGCAGGAGGATCACCTGAGACTAGTAGGTCGAGGATCCAGTGAGCCATGATTATGTCATTGTGTTCCAGCCTGGGCATCAGAGTGAGACCCTGCCTCAAAAAATATATATATATAAAGATCATGTGGCAACCTGGGAAAAATGCTTATAATTTAATAAGCCCCAAAAAGCAACATGTAAAATTGTACAAATACTACAATTTTAAGAGTGGAAATATGTGCGTGAAAAGATACTGGATCTTTAAAACATTCTCTTAACATATCAACATAATTTCTAAATTACATTTTTTAAAAAAATAATGAGCACATTTTTATTGGTAGTTGAAAAAATAAAAGATTAAATAAAAAAGCAGAAAGGTAAAACAGAGGTTATGTTAACTTGATAGTTTTTTGTTTTTAGTATGTGCGGTTACTTTCAAAACTTTATAGATATAGTATTCAATCATATACAAGGGGAGATCCCCAAAAAACTGGAATTATTTTTTAGAGGGCAGGCCCCGTGTAGTACAGTCTTCTCCTGCAAGTTAAGTGTTCTAGAAACCCATGGGCATCAGGGTACCGGCTAGTGTTGCTGTGAAAGGCTGCGTTCGGGTTCAGTGAATTTTCAGTGAATTTTGCATTTGACTATTTCATGTTGGGTGATTTACAAGCACACCTTCCCACACTGTGCTGAGTGTGCAGCAGTTTTTGACAAAAAACAGCATGACTACCATTCCCCACCCTCCCTATTCACCGGATCTCACCCCAGGCAACTTTTCTTTGTTTCCCTGGATGAAAAAAGTCCTCAAAGGGAAACTGTTGGTGGTTCCTCTCACCCATGCCAGCTCTGGCATGTCTATCTTTCCTTTCCTCTTTCTCTAATAAATTTTGTTTTAAAACTTAAAAAAAAAAAAACTGTTTTGCCCATGTGGAAGAGAGGAAACAAAAAAATGGCAGAAGCACTAAAAAGCATCAAAATTGATAAGTCCAAAAACTGCTTTAAGCAGTGGAAAAAGTGTATGGATAGGTGTATTGCACGAACTGAGAGTATTCTGAAGGCGACAGAAGTTTATACATGTAAGAATAAATACACAATGTTTATAAATAAATTCCATTGTTTGGGATTCCCCCTCATATATACCTATATGCAAAATTTAGAATTATCATAAAATATATATTTTTATGAAAAAAAAAAAATACTTGTCTACATCCTAATTTCTTAGAAACCCCAGTCTACCATCTTTTAGAGTCTGTACTAACATGAAAGGTACAATAGTAACAACCTCTTTTGCTAAAATAATTATGGACTGTGGACTTTTTTTTTAAGGGTCATGTGCTCAGGGTCACAAGTCAGTTGATAGCAATTGCCCCAGGTGTATAATGCACATGAGATAGAAAATGGGCTGAACTGACTTTCTCATTGGGTAACTTGTACTTTCTCATTGGGTAACTTGTGTAACCTCAAGTACCTATACTTCTACCTCTAAAGCCAGAAGCGACATTGGCGATTTCAGTTTGCTTTCCCCATTTTAGAGAGACATCTCTACCATCATTCAGTCATGACTCACATGTACCCCATGCAAGGATATGGGAACCTCAGGCCTCTCCATTCCTCTTACGCATTATGGTCCACCTTCTGAGTGCCTCTAGAGTTACACATATCTAGTACTTCACCACCAAGACATAGTGATCATGTTTTTCTTTTATTTATTTATTTTTATTTTTATTTTTTTTGAGTTGGAGTCTCACTCTGTTGCCCCGACTGGAGTGCAGTGGCCCCTCCCGGCCACCACAGCCTCAACCTGCTGGGCTTCGGCGACCCTGCCTGCTCAGCCTTCCGAGTAGCTGAAACTATAGGTGTGTGCTACCACGCCCGGCTAATTTTGATTTATTGTAGAGATGAGGTCTCGCCAAGTTGCCCAGGCAAGTCTTGAACCCGCGGGCTCAGGCAATCCACTCACCTCAGCCTCCCAAAGGCGTGGGATTACAGGCTGAGCCACCGAGGCTGAGCCACCGAGCCCGGCTACCTTTTTTTTTTTTTTTAAACAGAGACAGTATCTTGCTATGTTACCCAGATTGGTCTTAAACTTTTGGTTACATGACCCTCCCGCCTTAGCCTCCTAAAATGCTGTAATTACAGGTGTAAGCCATGACACCCAGCCTCAAGTTTCAAATAAGGCAAAGTGGTTGACACTTGGCCAGTATATTTAAAATATTAAATATACCCAATGCACAGTTCATCTTACATGTAGTAGGGCAATATATGTCCTTAGAGCCTGGCACTTCCATCCACACCTCTATGATACCCAAATCAACTCAACCCGGCCTTGTGGGTTAACCTACACTCACTGACACCAAATGCTTAAGCTGATCCTGTATGAAGCAGAAAAGTACCTACATTTTTTCAATTACATAAAACTGAAAAATTAGCTGAAACTAAATATCTATGATATTTATGATACTGATGATATCTGTGACTGGGGCAGAGGATGTGCTTGCAGAGATTCAGAATCCAAATTCTCTAATCAAACTTTCTACCTCAATTTAAATTTATTCTCCCAGAGAAAATAAGCTAAATATTTTTTCTTAACTTTATGAATGTGGAGAAGAACTTAAGAGTTTAAATTATTGCCGGGCTCGGTGGCTCAGCCTGTAATCCCAGCACTTTGGGAGGCCGAGGAGAGTGGATTGCCTGTGTTGGGCAACGTGGCCGAGACCTCGTCTCTACAATAAATCAAAAACTAGCCGGGCGTGGTAGCACGCGCCTGTAGTTGCGGTTACTTGGAAGGCTGAGGCGGAAGGATCGCCGGAGCCCAGCAGGTCGAGGCTGCGGTGGCCGGGAGCGTGCCACTGCACTCCAGTCTGGGCGACAGTGAGACTCCAACTCAAAAATAAAAAATAAAATAAAATAAACTATTGTTTATGATAATCAGTCTACTGAATCTCACTGTTGATTTTCCAGAATGCATGTTTCAGTAACTTTGTTAGAATTAAAGCAAACACTAAACAATTTTTAAGGCAAAGCTATATTGGGTGGAAAAAAAAAAAACCAACCCACGACTGCTTTTTAAATTGTGTCTAGAAAACACAAATAAAAACGCTTAAGGTTGGGGGAAGAAACAAAACAAAAACTTAACAGGAATCTTTTACGAAAATGTTAGAGTAAAAAGAGCAGGGCCGCAGAAAGAGAAAACAGCAACTCATCAATCCTGGTTGAGGGAGCTGGAAAGGGATATCGCGTAAAAGCAGGGAAGGGTGGTTTGGGAGGAAGATGGGCACATTTTGAAGAGAAAGAAAATAAGAACAGGGAGGGAGGGTCTAAATTGTAGAAGAGGCAGAAGCTGGAGAGAAAAGGGATGGGTAGAAGCCTAACGAAAAACGGCGGAGACTGCGGAAACAGAACCTTGTCGAAAGAGAAAATGAGAGGAAATGATATACACCCAAGTCAGGAAAAGGAGCTGGGAGTGGGAGAGATTACTGGTCCCAGGATTCAGAAGAGGAAGGAGGTGTGGCGACGATGGGCCTAGAGAGAGGAGTAAGACGGGGCTGTGGGCATGAGGAGGAAGATGGAGAGAGTCTGGGGAGCTAAGGATGAAGCTGGTTTGGGAGAATGAGCTGGGAGAGGGTCCAGAGTGAGAGAGCCTGGGAGTAGGAGTGAGGGAAACAGGAGTCTAGAAGGAGCAGAGGCAAGAGCATGGAGGAGCAGAGCGGCAAATAAGGAACGCGGTTGAGGGATGAGAACAAAAGAAGGGGCCAATAAACTGCCAAGATGAAGTTGAAGATTTAAACAGAGAGATGAGGCGGACAGCAAAGAGGAGCAGTGGAAGGATGAGGCTGGCTGGGGAAGGAGGGCTGAACTTGGAGAAGAAAGGACAAGATCGGGCAGAGGACGTTTGGAGAGGTCAGACTTGAGTGGCGAAGGATGGAGGACTCGGGTGGAGGCGCATATAGGACTCTGATGGAGGAGAATGAAGGACTCTGGGGGAGGAGCATGGAGGACTCAGGTGGAAGAGGATAGAGCACTCAGATGGAGGACTCAGACGGAGGACTCCGGTGGAGGAGGATGGAGGACTCAGATGGCGGAGGATGGAAGTTCACTGAGCAGCGAACCCTCCAGAGCTGCCGGGAGGTGGAAACAGGCGGGGTTGAACTGATAAATCCTCACCGTGTAGTCCTTAAAGGACGTGCCCGGGAGAAAGGGCAGGCCGTGCACGGGATTGGACACCATTGCAGTCCGTACCGCCGCCGCCAACTCGGTCTGGCTTGGTCCTCTCCGGTTGCCCTGGCGACAGGCTGCGTTCACCGCTCCTCCTCCCGCCGGACTCCATGGTAACAGCAAACATCCCGAGTGTCCTCGAGCGGGGGGCGGGTCCTAAGACGCGGGCGTGGCAGGTTTGCGCATGCGTCCCCCGCGAAACTCGCGTTCTCGCGGGAAGGGGGCCGCGCCGACTGGGCGGGGCTACTGGGCGTTGTGTAGCGGGCCCCGCCCTTCCGCTTCGCCCGGCCTCTCGCCCTTCCCGGAAGATGCCACGTGGGAGCTGCTGGGTCGAGTGGAGGAATGTGGGTGTAGTGAGCGGTGGTTCTCTCTGTGAGGTCCTGGGTCCGAGCAGGACCTTGATGAGGTGCGAAAAAGGGACGTTCCTTCTTTCCACTCTGTTCTCCCAAGCTCTGTCCCAGTGCACATGGTAGTGTAAATGGTCGGTTCGAAGGAAAATGTTACTACCCCAGACCCATGCTCCTTGGAGGCAGAGGTGCTGATTATTCGGGATCGTATGTCTGCTGCTCGGGAATGGTCAGTGAACTAATCCTTCCATCTTGAATTGCCTCCCCCACCCTACAGCTTTCTTTATTCTACTGTCAGCTCCTGCAGCTCACACCCTGCCGTTCTTGAAGGCCCAACCTTAAATATTTGCTGCAGGACTAGGAGCTCTCCCGTAGGTACTCAGTATTTGCCAGAGCTGCAAGGAAAAGATCAGAACCACAGGGAGGAACGCAGCTGCTTCCAAGAGAAAAGACAAGTCATGAGACAGAAGCAAAAAAATCTGGTGAAGTACTGTCAGCATCAAAGGTATTCTTGCCGTTAGTGCTTTTTACAACATTTTAAAAAATTATTTTTTCTTAAAAGAAATGTAATCCTATTCCTGAAACATTTTCGGTGGAAAAAAAAGAGAGACAGAGAAATGTATCCATCAGCGCTGAGGGGTCTAAAAATAAAAACAAGCAACAAAACCTGGGTGCCCAGAGATTGGATTCATGAGGTTGACATGGGAGCCAGGAATCTGATTTTTGTAACAGGTGTTTCTAACTAGCTAGTTTAGGCCCATGATAGAGAAGTAAGCCTGATACAGAAGGCACATGGAAGGCATATCTTGGTTTCATGGGTCGTTTACTGCCAATACAGAGAGCATCTTTACTTTTATTGCTGCTTGTCACAGCAAATTCCGCTGTTGTGTTTCACTAATTGGTGTGAAGCTCAGGAAGTCCAGGGCATGAATGCACTAAAAGTGGCACCTGAAACGGATATTGATGCCTGTTTACTACACCCTGCCCAAAGAGTTTCTTTGCTAACTCTTCCTCTCCCCTTACTACTTGTATTTCCCATTCTTGTCTTTTTCTTTTAGCCATTTTCATTTTCTATTGGTACATTACCTTAATGCAGCAGTTTAATACATTCTTTTTATTATTTATTTTTTGAGTCAAGGCCTCGATCTGTCACACAGGCTAGAGTGCGGTGGCATGATCACAGCTCACCCCAGCCTCTACCTTTTGGACTCAAATGATCCTCCTGCCTCAGCCTCCCTAGTAGCTTGGACTACAGGTGCATACCACCATGCCCAGCTAAATTTTTGGTTCTGTTTTTGTAGAGATGAGGTCTTGCTATATTGCCCAGGCTGGTCTTCAACTCATGAGCTCAAGCAATCTCTTGCCTCAGCCTCCCAAAATGCTGGGATTATAGGAGTGAGTCACCGCACCTGGCCCAACACACTTTTTAAAAAAACTTCTGCGAATTGATTAGCATTGTTGAAGTTATTGAAAACTTTAAAAATTCATGTCCATTGCCTTATACCTTAGTCACTTACCTAGGCTGGAAGCCTGTCACTAGGAGAAGATGTCAAGATGGCAAGTTCAAGCATTCACAGAAGGTGTCTCTCCCACTTCTCTCTGCCTCATTGATGCTGATTATCCAGAATCACTAGTAACTTTAATTCTCACTAACTTCTTGATAAACTCTTAAAAATTCTTTGAACTTCCCAACTCTCTTAGTAAAAGTGAATCCCATGATGTTAGGACACATTTCGAAGAGCATTTCTTGACTAATTCCATGGTCACACTTAGCTCAGTATTTCCTGGGTGGGTAGGGAAGGAGCTTGTGGGACTGGAAAGGGTGAGTCATGCCTGAGCTTATTGTCCACGGTGGCATTTGTTTCTATTTGAGGAGTGCCCTCTGCTCATGTCTTTGTCCCCCCAGAAAGCATGCTAGTTAAATGACTAAGGAGTATGTTTTAACTACTGT